ATAAAAATATTGACAGGTGGTAGAATTCGAGATTGTTTTGTATAACATAACATGACACTGCAATCTATACATATTCATACAGCTTAGATTTTGCACGAGATCGATGTCTGATTTTGTTGCAGAAGCTGCATTAAAGGCCAGAAGATATCCAGACGATGAAAGTTTGTCGTGGCCTGCATGGCAAGATATATTAAATAAGGATAAATATTAAACCGGATAAAATAATGTGAGGCGGAAAGGTAATGAAAAATGAAGAACCATAGAGGTATCAATTCATCATAAATGGTAACTTCGAAGGTAACAATTTGCATAGTCCGTAAACCATGTTATATCATTCTCAGATTTATTATTTAAAATGGCTATTAGATTATCAAGATAGAATCAAATGCTATATATTGCCGTTTTCAATAGATGTACCAAATGAATTGTAGTTGTTGGCTTTTGTTATACAGTTTCAGTAACACTTTTAACATCTATAGAAGCTCGTAAAACCCTTCTATCATCACCATATACAAAGTAACACTGCAATTTTCATATTACTAGAAGTAGATATCAATAATCAAAAGATAATATCCAATCAAAAATTGTTCTCGCATCCAGAGTCAGCAGCTATTATCAATAAAATACAAGATACACAACTAGACACAGTGTGGCCATTGTGAACTTCTTCTCAATATTCCACAGTTAAGCTCTAGAGGAAAAGAAAAAAAAATTAGTGCATTTTCTGTAGGCAGTGTACAGTGATATGAAAATTTTTATTTATGCGGGTTACTTGCCACAAGCTGCTTAATATCTTTTATGATTATTTTACCATACATTCTCGAAGTTAGCATTTATAATCTCTAGTTGTCTAAACAACATTTTTCTACTTTCTCAACAATTTTTCCTTGTCCGTAAGATCAAACAAATGAAACAAAATCATCTTCCAAATATAGCCTTAGACAATTTTACCTGGAAAGACATTAAAAAGATCCCCTGATTCAGCGAGGCCATGGTGGAGAGACAATGCTATAATGTTTTTATTCTCTCCATTCAATAACTTTTCTTTATCTAAGAAATGTGACTTTTCCTATAAATATAATCAGGAACTTGCCTATTCGTTTTCTGAAATTCAAAATTTTTCCAGCTATCAAATATGACGAAGTCATTGTCCTTGTTGCTCATGTTAATGTTTCCTCTAGATTGAGATTCTTGTTGTGTGAATCCAGATAACTATACTGATTTATTGCTCAACAAAAATGAAAAACTGAACATTTCCTGCAAGCAATAGTTGTTAACAACGCTACGAGCAGCTCGTCGCTTCAATTACGAAGGCGAAGCAAGGCGAAGCTGCTCGCAGTAATAGCGACGCCTAACTATGCCATTGTCCCGCTCGTCGTTGCCACGTGTGGTGTTTGTGTGGC